CGTGTAGCAGAGCTTACTACTGCTGGGCCATACTCATTTTTCATGGAAACTGTGGTGGATTTCTCCCGTTTTCGTTTCTGTTCACTGTAATATGGCTGAGAGAGCTGACTGGTTTTGCCTCTTTGCTCTTGGTGTCTGGAAGGATGCTCTCTCTAACTGTTAAATGAGATTACACCTGAGCAGAATTATAGATGTTTAAAAAGCACTCAGGAGAATGACTGCCCTCGCATCTGGAATTAACACCTCTAGAGGTCAAGAACATAAGCAACACCCTCACCCTCAATAAAATTCAAGGCCATTTTCTTTGCGTAACAGCAGTGAAAGTTACGACCCCTCCCTGCCAACCAGTGGGAAAAGAGCTATGGCTACATGGCTTCTGTCCAGGAAGGAGTGATGAGCGTTATGTATTCTTCAAGTTGGGAGCTCTATAATTCTATTAGCATTTTAGATGAACTCTGGAGCTTTTACAGATTTGCATTCCTACCTCCGGTAAGCAAAGCACTAGGGAACAGAGGCTCCACTTAGAATAGATTAAATTCCAGCTACAGAGAAACATCATTTGGATTTTTTTTGCAAGAGACACTATGCTCTGTTTCTTCAAACCTCAGAGTATGAATAAAACTTAAATTATTGAGGCAAATAGCTTAGGGAGTTTCAAATAAGGATTAGACAATTATATGAATAAGAATAGGTAGGATAAAAAGAGAAGGGCTATCAGGTTGCCTGCATCTGCTTGTAAATTCATCACCAGTATAAAAGTAAGGTAAAAATCCCATAAGCATTGCCATCAGGGAGAAGATCTCTGCATGAGCAAGCGCTGTCTCTCGCAGCAGTGACTTTGGGCGTGTTTCTAGGTTGCTAACTAGAGACATTTTAAAGAGACCTTGTTTTTCAGAGGTGGTTGTTTTGCTCTTTCTGACTCCCAGATTCCTTTATTATGTGAAGAGATGATGCTTTGAATAGCTGAACACATTTGAATACCTGTTTCCTACTACACAAGTATATTGCTAATCATCTGGGACTGACCTGAGCTCGGAATAGATTGCTGTTACTCTTACATTTCCAGTTCTGTCTAATATATATAGTAATTATTTGCTGGCACCAGGGGGAAAGGGAACACGGACCCCTTCAGTCTTAGCTCTGTACGAGTGTTACCTGTGCTACAAAATCTAGAGGAGTTTCATATTTAGGTTTATTTTTAGGCTCACCCTAACTGCCTAGCTTAGCGAAATACCAGGCTGCTCTTCTGAGGTGAGCAAAGGGTATGCAAATCTATGAGGGCTACTCGTGGTAAAAGCAGAACGTGGATGCCTTCAGTCACCTTCTAGAGGTTTCTCTGTCTTTGCCCTGGCTCTGGAAAGAGCCAAAGCAGACTGAGTATTCAACTGAAGCTGTAGTTATGAATGCACAGGCTTTGTTGGCTCTGCCTGCCAAAAGGTTCCCCCTCTCTCATGCCTCGCGGCTTCTTCCCAGCGCTGCTCTCCCTCTTAGTTGTGCCAGCCCAGCTCTTTTTGGGACCGTGCTGGAATATGTCTCGGTGTCTTTGTAGGATGTTACTCAGATACGCCTGGCGTCACATGGTTCTATTTTCCTCTTCAAAGTGACGGCTTATATTGAAACAAATTTGCAGCTTTCTGGACACTTCGCAGATGTCAGCAGTGTGTCCGCTGAGACTAGTCAGATCCTTATAATGCAAAAAATCTCCTTCCTAAAATGGGGATACTTTCTCAGTAAACGGGGATATGTTTCCATTCGATTATGTCATTATAGGATTCGTGACACAGATGAGCAATTTTGATCCTTTCCAGTAGAAAGAAGCAATGCACATACACACTCAAGTGCAAATGACATTGTTCCCTCTGTGTTTTGTGAAATGGCAGTTATGGAGAGAATAAACCCAGAAGAAAGGCTCTAGATAAATCTTTATCTGAATTATCAACAGAGTTTCTCTCTCACTCTTTCTCTCATTTCATAGACCATTGACCAATATTCCCATGCAACCATCTTTTAATAGAAAAGACAGATTTCCTCCTAGGAAGGGGAAAATAAATGAAAAGATTATTTGCTTGGACAGATCATCTGGAGCAGGGAAATCAATTGGGATTGTTTATTCAGCAGAAGAAGCAGGGGAACCGATGACAAAAAATTACTTATAACCCGGGAGACCTATCACACCCTGCTTAGCAAAACACTTTTCGTACATACGGGACCTCTGCTTGCCTTTTTTGTGGCTGTGATGCTGAGATAAATGTGGTTTCCTTTATAACAGCCAACGCCGTTGTTATCACCTAGGGAAACTTCTGCATATATCAGCGTTGCTGGATGGGTATCTTTGCTCCTGAATTGTTCCATGGTTGAAACTGAGTAATCTTGTATGATTTATCTCTGAATAACAGATGCCAAGTGTCTAATTGGTTGGTGCCTCCTGTAGCAGTGAGACTGCCCTTCACCAGCTGTGGGGTACCTGTGACGGGTACTGCTGGAATTTTCCCGCTCCTTTAAAAGCTTTTCAGCACTCCTCAGCACAACAAGCTGTTGTGACTGGTTAGCTTAGAATCATAGAATGAATCATAGAATGGTTTGGGTTGGAAGGGACCTTGAAGATCATCTGGTTCCAACCCCCCTGCCATGAGCAGGGACATCTCCC